ACATTTCATTCCAAGATAATAAATGATCGGGGAATAGGAAAATCAACTTCAAAACTAAGAATAATAAAAACTGATTTTGGTAGCCTAGTGGATAATGCATTGGGATTGAAAACGAGAAGCGCAGTGTTCGTTTTTTTTCCACTGAGGACATCCTCATCAGTCACTGGAAATGCAGTTACATCCAGCTGACAAGTCCTATATAAGAAGGAGAAGGAATGAACATGATGATGATTCCACTCTTGCTGTTTTTTATTTCTTTACTTTCTCAATGAAACATAGGACTTCAAGCTAGAGGCTTGAAGTTCCGGCAGCAGTTGCGTTTATTTCTACGGGATGAGGTTGCTAAACGAATGCCCAACCTCCCATCTTTACCAGTTTTATTGCTAGCTTAATGAGGTATATGAGTGAGTGCATCGGGGGTAGAGAAACCTGAACTACGTGTGGCGTGGCTGGTTACATTCTACCATTGTACCACCGAAGCACGGATTCCCATGTTAGTCCCCCACCAAGTAAAATAACTTCTATTCGGATGGTGTATTAGCTTAGCTACAAGACCTAACCGCTATAACTAGATCATTACTTTATTTTAATCATCACCGACAGTCACCATTTTTCTTGGTATCCAATGTTTCTCTGATTGAAAACAATTCGTAATCAATCGTGAAATCAATAAAAATCCCTACAAACCAAAACTTGAAAATAAAACCAGTGCACACTACTGACTGACTCAATGAAATATGCAGTTGCCACCAGTTCCAGTTTGAAGTCATGATCAGCGCGATTCAAATAAGACTCTGCATAAAATAGTTTATTATCCTTTCTCACGCATATTGTGATTCAATGTGTTATCAGTTCATCGTCTTTCTTCTCACCTGGGTCTTTTTCGAATCACCAACCGATCACAACAGACATATCCAGGCAACGAGAACAGCACATTCCCACGGTTATGGTAAATTAAATATCTAAATATGATATTTTGTTTCCTAATAGGTGAACATAATAAAATATCTTACATTCACAGACAAGCCTTCGTCTTTTGAAATTTGCGTGGCCCGGTAAATCACAGGGTACAATGGACAAATAGACGTATTAGCGTACCAGTCGAGCTCATTACCGTTATAGTAATTAACAGGCACAGACATAACAAACTGATGACCCGGTTTATTGAGTTCAGTTCAGTTATAACAGTAATCCACTAAGTTGAGCTTGGGGACAGATACACATCGATGAGGTTAGCTGACAGTCGAGCGAATCGATAAACGTTGGAATATACGGCTCAACTGATAGCGCAGTGGTATACGAGCTCTCGTTGTAACCGGTGAGTAGTGTTATGAGTGTGTACTGATAAAAAATGAGTCGGTGGCACAGCTGTAGAGTGCTCGCTGACCACGTAGGTGGTCCAAGGTTCGATCCCCGGCCGACGCACTCCTTCACCACGCTAAGCCAGTAATAAGACTGGCAAAGAGGTGAGATTGGGTATGAGGCAAGCAGCCCTATCCTGTAAAACTAAACACCGCTGCTACTGAAACTTCAAGCCTGTATCTTGAAGCCTCCCGCCCCTATGTTCCATTGGGAAAGTAAAAGAAATAGAAAATGATGAAAAACACTTCCTGATTTTCAGTCGGTCTCTAACCGAAGTCAGTTTGTGAGTGAAACTGACATACTTATTCGTTTATCATTACAATTAGTACTCAGAAAGGGCTTTCTCATATCAACCCTAATGATGATCATTATAGCTGTTGGGTCCTGCAGATGAGCTGTCTGAAGCCATTGTTGTCAAAACCTTCTGCCATACAGAATTTTTTATTTTCCCTCTAAACATTACCCACTACACGAAAAACTATCCGATAATGTAACGTAATGTGACGGTGATTCATTGGTAGATCACACGTGGCCGGGGATTCGGTTCCCAGATGACATACTCCTAAACGACGCTTATTCAGTAGGAAGTCCGGTGAACAGTGTGAAAGTTTGGCGTGAGGCAAGCAACCACACCACATGAAGAACAACACCAATCTTATTGAATTCGTAAGATTTCAAACCTAGAGGCCTATTTTCCACACGGGAAGCAAAGGAATCCAAAAAATAAACGCACCCAAGTCTAAACATCATTGATTGAGGAATATGTACTTGGGAAAGTCTAGTCGACAGTGTCTTAAAATAATCATCAAGGAGGAAAATATTAGCAAGAAACTAAAAAAATTGGTTCAATCCACTCTTGAATCAAATAATTATCCTAAAGTCTTTATAAAAAGGTATTTAAAGTGTGAAGATAAGGATGATTCGAAACCTGCTGCAAAGAATTGAAAAAAGTATAGCGGTGATTATTTACCGCAAACAAATTCAGCCGATGAAATAAAGCTAATCCTTTACATAACATAACATAACAATTCGCGTTATTCCAGAAACAGTACTTGTGGTACAGTGTGACATTTTCAGCACATATCTACAATATTGCATCTAATTTCATCGTACATTAAAAAAAGGAGTATTACAAAAAAAATAAATATAAAAAAAACACGACAAAAATAAACCTAAAAACGAAACACAGAAATAACAAAGAAAAACAAAAGAAAAGAAAAAAATGCAATTAAAAATTACCAAGTAGAAAGGAAGATCAACACAAATAATGAAAAAAATATTTCAGTATTGGTTAGTGGAAGCTACGATATGTGTATTCGTGGTGCACAGTAACAGCTATGATCGTAGAAGAAATTATGAGATGTTCTTAAGAATGTTAATAGCTAAGATGATCACTTGATTTGATTGAACAACACTAAACAATCATAAAATAAACATTTCAGGTTGTGTTTTTTTTATTGTCAGCACTAATGCAGTGTTAGTCATGGTAGTGTTAGTAATGATGCATAATACAAAATTTTTTAAGATGGTGATAGTGGCGTTCACAAACAAGATTGTCAGTTAAATAGTGCCGAACAAAGAACAACCACAAAAATTAATATTACATGATGGTTAATGACAGGACAATTTTGTAATAATCATAGTGATAATATAGTCGGACCCAGTAGATATACAAAAGAAGGAATAGAATAAAGTGCAAAAAAAGTAAACCAACAATAATTAATTTTAAGCAGCTAAGTATGTTTAAGAAGGTTGTTCACTATAGAGTACAAATAAGAGAGTATAAGGGGAAATAACAAGGACAAGAATTATGTTATTAACAACAAAGCAAGTCATAAGTTTCACGCCTAACATTGTCTCTGTCACTTAGAACACGGGCCAAATATGGTATCGTTGAGTTCCTATACTTGGTTGTACGAGCATATATTATTTTGTACTGATTTCTGGTTCTACCTGATGAGATGCAAGGAGAGAGTTGGGAATGGAGGGGGTGTTGGGGGTCAGAGAGTATGGTTTTAGACCATTTCTCGCATGTATTCAGATGCTTATCCACTAATGTTGTGACGAGCTGACTGAGATTTACACCGCTAGTCCTACTAACTACATTCAACATCCTTCTCAGGATGGTATAGTCCTTTTTCAGTAACCCAGGAAAGACTAACGGGGAACAGTAAAGTAGAATAGGTAGGATACGAGAGTTGACAAATTGTGAAAGCAGAGGTTGAGGGACTCCAGTTAATCTGAGTTTCTTAATGTAGTAGGTTAGACGAAACACTTTCTTGGAAATCATTTGGATATGAGATGACCAGGTAGGGTCGGAAGATATAACTAATCCGAGGTATTTTGCATTAGACTTTGTTTCAATTATAGTCCCCTCGATTCTACAGACGTCATGAGTGCTTACTAGTGTTTGTAGATCTCGTTTATGCCTAAAGGAGAAGTCGACAGTCTGGCATTTTGAGGGATTCAGCATGAGGCCATTTAGTTTTGACCACTGACTGATGTCCGACAGGAAGCTATTTAATTTGAAGCAGTCTGACTGAGACTTAACGGGAAGCGAAACAGTCAGGTCATCTGAATATTTGACGAAGTTGATTTCGTCTGAGAGAGGTAAGTCATGTAAGAAGAAGGAAAAGAGAAACGGCGAGAGAACAGCACCCTGAGGAACACCAGCTTCAGTAAGCAAAGGAGAGGAAGCTACACCTTTAAATACCGTGTACTGCATCCTATTGGAGAAGTAAGAGTGCAGCCAGTTGATAGCCCAGGACTCAGTTTGTGTAAGGCTAAGCTTGTTTAACAAAAGGCATCTAGGTACAGAGTCAAAAGCAGATGTGTAATCAAGGAAAGTACAACGGACATACTTGACCCCTTTGTCTAAGGAGGATACAATGTTGTGATGAAACACAGCAGCAGCATCCAAAGTACTTCTACCCTGTTTGTAAGCAAACTGCTTTGGATCGTTTGAGAAGCTAAGGGAGGGAATGAGTTTTTGTAACAGTAATTTCTCCATCAGTTTCAAAAAAGGAGAGTTAATGGCAATCATGACAGCGTAAGAGTGTATTTTCGTGCAACTAACACACCTTACGCTTATCAACACTAGTGAAGGTTAAGGATGAAATAGAACAAGAAAACCAGTAGAATTGTGTATACCAGATCAATTGTGGGGATTTTAACGCCGTATATGTAAGAGAAACTTCCAGACAGGTAAATATAAGAGTGAAATAGGAGAAAACAATGTCTAAAGGTGGTTCCAAAGACCACTGCAGACTTGAAGAAGCTAGAAAACAACTCAGCGATTGCACTGCACTGCATTCGATAGAAACGGGACGCATATACACATATATTTTAACAAAAGTAGACTAATATTTGTAAGTCTGAGGTCAAATTTTGATCACAGTTCATACAATTTTATTTTACCTGTTGATAGCTGTTTCATGATGCATATGACTGGACAAACAATTTTAAAAAAAACAAGAGATCCCGTTTTTGTATATATAAACCTCTGTTATGTTAATTTCGATTAATTTCCCTGAGGATGGAGTTAGGACCAGATTTCCGAACACAGAAAACGTTGGAATCAATCATTTCACAATTTCGCTGAGATTTTACAAATACATAATTTTATAAATAACCATCAATTACTTACTGTAGGCAGGTAAAGTTGTCAATAGAATGAATGAAAACTGTCGATGATACCGTGCCATCAATGTCATTGTAACAAATGTTAGCGTATTTTTGAAAAAACGTGTAATTATTATCGTGTGCTGGAAAGGTCCAATCGCCTAAATGAATTTGAATAGTATAAAAATAAAAAATATATAACTATTTTAAGAATTTAAAACAACTGGTTCCCTTTTTGAATTTAGATAAAGCAACAAGAAGACGTAATTTGTCTGAATCGTGTAATGTTGTGTATGCGTAACACATTTTGAACAATCTGATCACACACACGGACTTGTCATAGGAATATATATGAAATTAATAAAGAGGTAAGAGATGAGAAAATAGACTACTTGGGTCAATTTAAAAAGACATATTGAAGGTCAGAATGACAATGAAGATCAGTCACTAAACCAAATAACGGAGGTAATAGTACATCTACCCTGGCCAGCATCGAAACGAAATTTGCCAAGGAAGGTCGTTTAGTGTGATGATGAATTGTTGATTTGAACGCATAAAGGTGGTTTAAGCTTCCTAGGGATTCCACAAACTTTAGGATACGCCCTCCACCAAACATGCTTTATAGATAGGTTTAAAAGACCTGTTAACGTCAATTTTATGTCCTGTCTCTATAATATGTTTCGCAATAGAAGAGCTAGGTCTCCTGTTCTCACCGTTAATAGGTTCTTATGATTGCATTTGTTTCTGAAGCCATTTAGGAATTTTCTCTGAAGCCAGCACTTACTTGCAGAGATCGATGAGTTCTCCTTATATATGTGTGTCCACACGTACATTCAGATTGGTAAATACAGTGTACATCAAGCTACCCCATATGGGGCATCAAAGCAGCTTCATAACTAGACAAAGACTGAACGCTGCTGTTAAAAAGACTTTTTTATGCAGCTAATATCATAATAAGAGAGAATGTAAAGGCAATATATCTATCTAAGCCCTTCGAACATGCGAAAAATGACGTCACATCCCACTGTATTTACCAACTTTCCCCTGTCTACCTAGCATTCGACTCCTAACCTCAATATTGTTCAACCTATTATACAACTTCACATGAGAGATAGATCGCAGACACATGTGATCAGAAACAGCTAGTGTTTTCATTGTCTTCCAGTCTCAATGGCCACGTTTCACAGCCACAAAGGCGCTTCAACTTCATCCACTTCAACTCCTACCCCGCACCATTAAAACACCACATTAATTATCTTTATTTTTATCATATGTGTAAGATTGACTACTGAGCGATTTCTAGTGAAACTTAACACCTTCCTTTTTCGTAATATAAATACCCAAATTTTCAGTTGGCTTGAAAATGAGCTCGTTGACATAAAAAACAGAATTTCTTCACTGAAGAAAGATCGTGTTTGATACTTAAGGATACATAGAGAACCTAACGCAATGGAGAAGTGTTCCTCTAGGAACTAAAAAATAACATTAATAATAATAATACTTAATTATATTAAATACCAATAGTATTTTAATGCATACACCTACCTGACATTGTTGATCCTCACCGTACATACTACTAATAAGCTTCATTAAAATATCCATAAACGCAAAAGTCAATAATTGTAGTTTATGACATAAGCACATATGAATATGTCTAACTCTAATAACATAAGAAATCAAAGATGTAAGAAAATAATAGTCAGGTCAATTCATCGTAAATACACGTGTGCGTGTCTCTGCTTGGAATACTTGTGGTCTCAATGAGTCACTCCTTCCTATAAGACCTGGATTTTGCGTGTGGATGATTTATGTTTGATGTCACTGTCAAAAAATCGAAGACTTACAAGCAAAAACCAACTGACAAATTGGTTGAAGAAGCAACCAACGAAGATAGGACTCCAGGTGAACATAGACAAGACGGAGGTGATGAAAACAACAAACCAACCAACAACAACAGCAACATCCACCACCAATCACCATCAACGGGAGGGATTTGAAAGAGGTTACCTCATTCCATCACTTATCTAGGGAGCATTGTCTCAATTACATGCAGTCCGAACGGACGACGTTGTCAAATCGAGCGAGAATCGGGTGGGGTGGGGGCGAGAAACACGCTGTTCATCAACCTGAAACCAATCTGGAAATCGTCGTCACTCAGCCAGTATCAACAACAAAATTCGGTCGGATTTTCAATACAAACACGTCAAGTCAGTCAATTCTTCTATACGGATCAGAAACTTGGCGGATGGGCGGGTCACAAAGAATATTTCCAACAACCTGTTGCAGACCTTTATCAACAACTGTCTCCGCCTGATCTGTACTGAAGATTAGATGGTCGGGCCGAGCAGGAAAGAATCACTACCAACAAGAAACTATGGGAAGAAAGGAACAAAACAAGAACCAATCGCCCAACAACAGCAAATATGCAGGAGAAAGTGGAGATGACACATTGGACACTCGTGGCTGAGGAGGCGGCTGTTGGAGACGTGCAGTTGAAGCTGTATGTTCCACTAGGGACCCAAAGGAACAATAATAATAATACTATTAACTTAGCAAACAGCTGCTGGCGATTTTTAGTTTCAGAGAGTCACAAAATTATCATACTTATGAATTAGGTGAAGATTATATCTTCAGTAGGTAAAGAAAGCCATCAGAAAATCCACAGTAGCTATCATTAGGCCTTCAACGTAGGTTTCGCGCTTATTAAAACTCGTCAGCAAAATGTATTTGTAACACATTTTAGGACATGACACCCCTCTTTTCCTTAGAGGATTCGAATCAATATCATCTAGCATTTGAGCCGACCTCAGGATCGCTTGAGTCATAAGATATTGCAAAATCAGGTATTATATATATACGAAAGAAAACTCACTTACCTCATATTTTTCCCTGCATAAGTATACGTTAAGCCGGGCAGACTGAAATGAGAGGAAAATAGAGCCTTATGTTGGTGATTCGAATTGAAATATACTTTTAGTGGGTAACATGAAACACCTAAGGTGTTATAAATATATAAGTCAACCTAACCGAGAAATATTCTTTCCAATAATTTCCATTTAGATTCACACAATTATTAATACGATATTTAAAACAATTAGTCCCTTTGATAAATTTGAATAAAGTATTAAGAAGACAAATTTCGCGAGATGATGCCATCATTTCGTAGTTTCTTTACAGCCGCTTTACAACTGCTTTACAACTAAAATGGTTAACAATAATAAAATAAAGTGCATGACAATTACTCAGTTAAATAAAAAACACAAAAGTACATACTAATGACCAATCATATTTATACAGGTCAAGTAGTCCAGGGTAGGCGACGATTGAAGTCTATTGTTTTTTGTACACACAGTTTACGCTGTATGTGATTAATCCCCCAAAGTACTTCTATCACCTTCAAAAACCAATCTTGAATTAGAGTTATGTGAAATAATTGTGAAACAGTCATTAATTGATATCGATTTTGTGACCTGATATTAATAAGTGTTTTGCAATGAATGATGCTGGATTTCTATTCAGATTAATCGCTTTGGGATTTTCGATATGATTTATTAGCTATTTTGGAACATGTTGTTTTCGACGACCACATTGGAACATTCTGTTGGTTTTATTTATATAAGTGTCACCACAACTTCAGGTGAACTTGTAGATACAGTTTGAAGTAGAGTCGACAGAATTTGGGTATTTGAATCGTAGGTACAGAGATCGAAAATGTTCGGCAGGTGAGAATAAGAGATGTGGCGTAGAATGTGCGTTTGATGGCTGACCGAAGTCTTTGAGGTAGCTGTCAACTGCATAATCTGGTCGCCCTTGAATGGTAGGTTGTTAATAAAGTTAGGTTTCTTTGGTACAGAAGCAGACTTTTCTATATGTGGTCTTTCTTTACTGTGACAAGTGATAAAGTTTTCTGGATAACCATTAGTTAATAATAGTTAACTGAAGGTATATGTCGAAGTTCATCCATTAATGTGTCACTCATGCATATTTTTCGGGCCCTTGAGAACAAACATTTCACTAGGGATAGAAGCACAACCGGTGAAATGAAGATATTGTCCGCTCCATGTCTGTCTGTTCACGAAATATTCATCGCTTAATCGTTCCATCATCTCTCTTGGTCATTGAGATATCCGGGAAACCGAGTTTGTTATTCGATTCGCGTTCGAAAGTCACTCGAATATTTAACTGAGTAATTTTCATGAACTTTATTTTATCATTGTTAACCATGTTGCTAGTTGTAAAGCAGTTGTAAAGAAACTACGAAATGATGGCATCATCTCGCGAAATTTGTCTTATTCAAATACGATTGTGTTATTAGATGACTAACAACGTGGAATATGAGAAGAAGGAATATTGGTATAGACGACTGTGAAGATTAATGGAAAACGTCCCGAATGCCGACATCAAAATCCTTATGGGATACATGAATGTCATCTGAACTAGGTGCAGATAATACAGGAAGAGAACTCATCATGGGTTGACAGGCTCTGGCTTGGTGATATGAATAAGAACGGAGAACTCTTCTCCGACTTCGGCTCTTTCAATGATCTTGTGATTGGTGGCAGCAAATAGAAGCAAAAGAATACACACAAGACACACTGGACAAAAATTTGAGAAGGAGAGTAGATGTGGGCTCAGACCATTATCTGGTTGAAAGTCAAGTTAAAAGCCTTCAGAATAACTGGAGACAGACCACAATACAAGTTTAACATCCAGAAGGTGAAGGATAAAACCAAAATGACTAATACACTGTTGACATCGGGGTAAAGTCGGACACACTGTGGAAAAACACCCAGGAAGAAGGCTGGAAATCGGTGAAGGTGACACTAAAGGAAATCTGTTCAGCTGTCTTAGGAAGGAAACGTAAGCGTGAAATGGAATGTTTCTCTGTGGGCATGTGAACATTAATAGAAGACAGAGAGGTGCTGAAAGTGAAGATGAACAGCGAAAGGAGAAGCTGAGTTCAGTGCATAAAAAACGACTATTTAATACACTGGCAACTGAAGCAAAACAGGTCGTAAGTAAGACACACCCCAAGACATTATTTCAAATGACCAGATCACTATCAAGAATAGATCAACACACCATCAACAGCCACATTACAGCCAGTGAACATCAGTCATCCAACAAAAGCATAAGCTTTGAATGCCAGAAAGTTACTTAAAGCCAGAAAGAGTAACGCAGCCAGATAGAATTCCTCCTGAAACTCTGAAAATTGATCCAGAGACCACAGTGGATATCCACACGCCATTACTGCAGAAATTTTCGAAGGAAAAGTAAGCATCTACTGATTGGATGAAAGGTTCACTTATCAAATTAACAAAGAAGGGCTGCTTAGGCCCTGCAAAACAAACTGGAATAGAGTCATGCCGTTGTCCATGACAACCAAAATATTCATTTGTATCATCTCTGGGAAGCCAGAAGTCTGGAATACACTGGACCGATAGAAAAGGCCCTAGAAAATCTAAACTTTACAAACGACTTTTGTCTAATATACCACAAATTTGAAGACCAACAACTTAGCAAAGCAGGCAGGCAACGGAGGAAGGACTTAAAACGAACAGAGGCAAGATGAAGGCGATAGAAATAACCAAATCACAACAAAGAGGACCAGTGACTATTAGTAGGAGAAATTTTCTGCATGCCACCTTTGGAACCACGCCGATTCTATATTTCTTGTTCAAATTTCACCTGAGCAATGGCCTGGTGCACCCAACTCACACATTGAAACAGTAATATTTACTGGATGACACAGTTTCTAACACAATTTATTGCTGTTCATAATCATATCGATTGTAATCACACGACTTCAAAACTTCAGTTTTATAGTTTTCATTGTCCTCTCCTATTTGTTGTCATTGGGGTAGTAGAATTTTCCCAGATATCTGGGTTGATAAGTGTTGGATCATTCCTATCACACGTATTTCCCTCAGTTGATTCGATAAACAAAGCTTCTTTTGTTATCAATCTCTCCCTCCACCCGGTGACATTACATTTTAGAACTGTCATCCTATCTCATCCTATTGTATGGTTGTGTGTAACTCCATGTAGTGAGTGGTATAGCTTCACTATTCTTTAGATTTCTTACCTTATTTGGGCCAACCAATCTAGATTTTGCTGCTAGGTTTTTATGCTGGGCTAGTCTGCTTGCGCCTGTTCTACTACTTTAACCTATGCATTCGACCTGACATTCATTGCAGGGTATTAGATATTCTTTTCGAAATATTTCTTGAACAAAAAGTGTTTGAGATTTTAGGCTAAGATATTGATTACAGCAATCGAAGATTGTTGACTTAAAGTGTAGAAAATCTGCGTCAGAGACTGGAGTAATATCATGAGTTTGGCTTATGAGGTTCTCGAATTGGATATACGTATGAAGTCTGTTGCTGTTAAGATTAACATCACAGAATTTTAGTCCAAGAGATAAAGCTTCTAGTTGTACCTTTGATAACGGAACTGAAGAGTGATTGAAAACAAATTTATTAGGATCGCTGGGGAATTTATTCTGAACTTCCACGGGCTTCAGGCTTTTGTTTAGATCTGATTTAACATATTCCGCTCTTCTGTTCTGCACCAGAGTAAGGTATTCATCGAACGATTGTTTCTCATCTGAAGATAATTCACAAAGAGCGGTAGATCGCTGTGATATGTTTCTTTGCAATTCAAAAATACGTGAACTTATAGAATCGATGACGTTTCTGGTGTGACGTTGAAGAATTTTTGAATTAGGATATATATGATGTCTCCGCAGCGCTTTCCAGAACCATTTTGGATATTCACGATTAGTAATACAGCTCTCGAGAAATACCAATTTTGCATTAACTTCGGCAAGTTTGACAGAGTAACGTAGAAACCCATTGAGTTCCTTCACCGTCGAAGGGTCCTTGCTCTTTTTAAGTTCTTGGAAAATACCCATATGGACATTAGAAAGAAGAGAACACGAAGTTCAGCAAAGATATCTTTTCGGCGATTTCATTCTCAAAAGCTGTACAATCGCATTTATATAGATTATTTTAACATGGATAGAATTATTATTTGTTTAATTTCACATAGTAACGAAGGTGATAATAATTTTTTTTTTAACTTGATATGATAGTTTGAAGGTACGAATATACATTACAAGAGGCTTAGAGACAAGATTTCATACGTATATCCAATTCGAGAACCTCATAAGCCAAACTCATGATATTACTCCAGTCTCTGACGCAGATTTTCTACACTTTAAGTCAACAATCTTCGATTGCTGTAATCAATATCTTAGCCTAAAATCTCAAGCCCGACATCTACTGACAAAAGAACATAGAAAAAGTGTTTGTTTGGTTTTTTGTTCCCAGCGTCTCTTGCTAGCTATTTAATCTTCAGTATGAAACCAACGAATGAAACTGTTGCTAAAAGCCTATTCAATACGCTTTTCATTACATCTTCTGTGTACTCACAGCTTTCGTCTGTGTGACCAGATGGAGTAGATTACTAACTCTCCCACTGACAATATCGATAGTCCACACTGAATCCCTGCTGCTCTTTCAGATTTCTAGCACTTTCATGTCATGTATATTCACATTTACTCGGCTACCTGAGTAGCCATCTCAGTTTTGTATATTGTACGAACATTCCAGATGCTTATCTTAATTTATGATTTCATCGGGAGAAAATATATCATTTGACTTGTTTTCTGAATGCACTCCGACTTTCCGACTTTCTCTCTCCACCTAGACTTGGGATTGCGTAACAAACTCGGCGAGGTTAGGCAGAAAGAAGCGAATAGGAATCGTTGTCTTGTCTTTGATCAAGGTGTCCATCGCTTCGCACTAGTGAATCTAAAAATCATTCGTAGTATTATTAAAATATAGTCGACATAATAATCATAATATTAGTAACGCTTAATATTATTGTTTAATGTTTTCTACAAATTATGAACTTACGCTAATGTTATTCCAGTAGAAATCACAGAGATTGAACATACAAATAATGTCGTTACGACTAATGGATATACATAAGTTTGAGGCAGGAGATTTTCAACGGATTTACGTCCATCTGAATATAGACCACGCTAGATTAGTAAGGCAATGGCACACACATAATAATTATTCGTTAGTATATTGATTTAAAATTTCCATTAGAAAGATTTCAAGAAGGTATTGAATAAAGAATAATTACATTCGGTGATGTTTGATGTCACACAAAATCGAAGATTACAAGTGAAATCCACAAACTGGTCGAAGAAGCAGCCGGCGAAGATAGGACTCCAGGTGAACAAAGACAATCACCATCAACGGGAGGGATTTGAAAGAGGTTACTTCATTCCATCACTTATCTAGGGAGCATTGTCTCAATTACATGCAGTCCGAACGGACGACGTTGTCAAATCGAGCGAGAATCGGGTGAGGGTGGGGGGCGAGAAACACGCTGTTCGTCAACCTGAAACCAATCTGGAAATCATCGTCACTCAGCCAGCATCAACAACAAAATTCGGTCGGATTTTCAATACAAACACGTCAAGTCAGTCAATTCTTCTATACGGATCAGAAACTTGGCAGATGGGCGGGTCACAAAGAATATTTCCAACAACCTGTTGCAGACCTTTATCAACAACTGTCTCCGCCTGATCTGTACTGAAGATTAGATGGTCGGGCCGAGCAGGAAAGAATCACTACCAACAAGAAACTATGGGAAGAAAGGAACAAAACAAGAACCAATCGCCCAACAACAGCAAATATGCAGGAGAAAGTGGAGATGACACATTGGACACTCGTGGCTGAGGAGGCCGGGCGGCTAGGTGAAATCACGCGCACGTCAGGCCATTTCTCGAGTGGAACCAGGCCGAAAAGCAAGCGGCGAGTGGGTCGTCGGTGCAAGGGTTACATGGAGTAGATCATGTGAAGAGGAGTTGAAAGAGCATGGACTAACATGGATGCAGGTGGAAAGTACAGCAGAATACAGAAGCAAGTGGAGACGTGTAGTTGAAACTGTATGCTCCACTAAGAACCCTAGGGAACAATAATAATAATGATGATAATAAGCAGTAATTGATACATTTTGCGTGGGCCTTCATGTATTTAATCGATATATATATATACTACCTCGATGCTACCTCGATACAAGATTTAGCTTACCTGATATAAGGCAATAAAACCATCGCGACTACAAGAACACCTTAAATACTTTTCATCGTGTATTGCTTTGCATATGGAATTACCACGGACTAAATCAGCATAATGTGAACTTGATTCTGTCCAACCACATTTATGAACAGTCCATGGTGAATAATAAGCAGGTTGAAAGATAATTTCGAAATGATTTTGCTAGACAATGACGGACGCAAAGAAAAGTAAATGAAATCAAATAATTTCTCAAATAACAAAAAGTATTTATATACTGAAGATTTCAACTAAATATGAAATCATCGTTTTTTCAAGAAAGAACTGTAACAACAGAAGACAAGGGCCAGGCAACAGATCGTTTAATGAGAAAATCAAGAAATATTTATACATTTATTCCCCTTAATGAATTTGAACAAAGTAAGAACTACAGTTTTAGCAGAATAAAATAGTTCCATCTTTTATTTCTTTGCCTTCTCGTCAGCTGCTTTAAACGTGGTCTAGTCAAGACTTTTTACTTTAGAGCGAGGAGAATATGCTCTACAGAGAAACTAGAGGAGGAGTATGAGTTCCTTGAAAAGATATGGAAGAGAAATAGGTATCCTCAAGGGTTGATCAACAAGTATGGAAGATCTGAAGTCACAAATGTAAAACAAATCACAGTGGGAAAAAAGCCAGTCTACATTCAGATTGATTATAAAGGTGAAAACATTGCAGTGATGATCAACAGAAGGCTGAGTACATGACTAGCCATAGCCTATGCTGCAGCTAAGCTCGTTTCCGTCTATCGAACAACTTTCTCTTTGGTGCAATCAAAAGTCGATAGATATCCTTCTCATGTTAACAACTCCAAATGTATATACAAATTTACATGTACCTTTGGGATCTGTTACATTGGAAGGGCATATCTACTATTTTCTGGACATGTGCCAAAAATCTTACATCTAAAGGGAACAAATGCTTTAAACACTGCCATCGCCAGGCATCTTCTCGACGCGGGTCATGAAGTGGACGTCGAAAAGTCGTTCAAAATTATCAATAGGCAAAAGAGCTCAATTCTCCTTAAGTTTGCTGAAGCCATTTCCATCAAGTGCCTGAAATCTGATTTATGCGTCCAGAAAGAAGCGGTTATCAGTCTTTCTTTGCCCTGCCTGGTAACTGGATATTTTTCATCTCTCTTTCTTTCGAATGCGAAATGCTAAAAGTTTCCAATGTGCATGATTATTATTGTTCGGATTAGTGTTTAATATTGCATATATATGTGTGTATACATGTTTTTAGTGTATGCGTATAGTGATCGACTGATTTTTGTTTAAAATGAACTCTGTGCAAGTACGTTAAAATTGTTGTTGTAGATATCTTTAATAATGTCTTTGCCATGTAAGCAGCTGACGAGAAGGCAACGAAATAAAAGATGGTATCATTTTATTCTGCTAAAACTGTAGTTCTTCCTTTGTTCAAGAAATATTCATCAACTTTTATATGCATTAATTATTAGCCCTTATTGTTAGCGGAGAAGCAACCTCTTCTGATTGGTTGTTTCCTTGCTTAAGGTTTTTTCTGTTATCTCCTTGTGGCCGTTTCGTAGAAAATAAAGCCATATATCTGTGAATCATATTTTTGCACACTTTAACTTTGCAGTGATTGGTTGTTAATTTTTTCAAGGTTAAGCTTTGTTGTTGTTTTTCTTCATGATCCTGATTCGGGATGTGATGCTTAAACGTAAATTGTTGTCTACAATTTCCGGCTTACAGACAGCTGTCACCACAGAACTAGTGAGTATACTTTAATAAAAGAACAGATGAAGACAAGGCAAAGTGGCTTGTTTAACACTCGAGTGGGTTACAGAAATTGGTTTCCATCAAAAATGCTTAATATCTTTTTATCAAAGACACACTTGGTGAGGAAGAAGGAAAGTTAATACACACTCTAACTAGTAAAAATTATATCCAGACTAGATCATTTAGGAGACATATGGTATTCAGAATAACAAGATCCACTCTTCAACTCGCCCCTAAGAAAGTGATATATATCCACATAATATGTGCGCGTCAGGACTATTAACTACTCGACGAGTACATAACAATAATTTGGCGATGGGGAAACTATAGATCCTTCTAAATTGGAATTACTACTTGAACGACAAATAAAATTGATGGAAATGCTCATCAACCAACAGACTGGTCCAACTTCACCTTCAAGCAATCCCAATCATACCATGCTACCATCTGTCGACGGAATTGTGAACAGTATTTCACAGTTCAATTATGACCCAGAGGCTAATGTCACTTTTGACACATGGTATCAACGTTATGAGGATTTATTCACTGTTGATCTCGCCTCACAAGACGATGCTTGGAAGGTGCGAGTGTTATTACGTAAATTGGGTCCCGCAGAATATGAACGGTACTGTAACCTTATTTTACCCCAGAAACCACGTGACAAGTGTTTCGATGATACAATAAAGTTGCTGCGTGAACATTTTGGAGACCACTCCTCATTATTCAGCACACGTTATCGTTGCCTCAAGCTGACAATGAGTGAAAATGATGATTTTCTTACTCACGTTGGCACAGTCAACCGAGAATGTGAGAGATTTCGACTCAGGTCCTTAACAGATGATCAATTCAAAGCCTTGATTCTCATATGCAGTCTTCAATCTCCTCGTTTCACAAATATCCGAACTCGACTGCTCAATCAGCTAGAACGAAATCCTAGGTTAACTCTGCATGACATAGCTGACGAATATCAACGGCTGATTAATTTGCAAAAGACACACACCTGGTCGAATCAACACCTTCGAGAAGCTCTGATATTCATGCATTACGAAAGAGCAAAAATCTCTCATCAGCCAGTTCTGACCCACCTTCTCCTAATGTTCCGCGTAAATCTACACATACTCGTCCAACTTCTCAAATTACTGCAAAGAAGACCCCACCATCACCATGCTGGCATTGTGGCGCGTGGCACTTTGTAAAGTCTTGCCCATACAAAAATCATCGTTGCAGCAAGTGCAAAATCATCGGTCATAAAAATGGTTTTTGTCAGCCACGCAAACCCAGATATCATAATCCAGCGAAAGCTCGACAAACTGTACGTCCTAAATCTCCAAGGAGATCATTGAGTCTACTCGCAACCTGTCAAGTCACAACACCAGGTATGCGGAAATACCTTGATCTTCGGATGAATGGTCATGATACACGTCTGCAGCTAGATACCGCCTCTGATATTACTGTTATATCAGAGAAACTTTGGAATAATATTAGAAGACCACCTATCACAAATACTTCTCAGACTCTTGTCAGCGCCTGTGGTGGGCGCCTCAAACTAATTGGTGAACTCAAATGTTCTGTTTTCTTCCGCAATGCCAAATTCACAGGAATTTGTTACGTCACCAAAAGTGATTTAAATATTTTGGGACTTGATTGGTTCGATCGTTTGCATCTGGCTGATGTCCCACTAAATTCTCTATGCAATGCAGCCAAAAAACATAAAATGTCAGGTAATTCCGGACGAAGCCGAAGCCGCAAACCCAACAGTCAGAGAAAGCGACAGACGTCAACAACAAGCTCAACGGTTTCAGATAAACCCCCAAGAAAGCATGCTATTAATCATCAATCTTCTCAAAAAGGGAGGTGATATATATCCACATAATATGTGTGTTTGTTTGACAGTCTGTTATATTTTGCTATGTATATATGGATCGATATTCCATTATAATTAGCCAATCATGTTAAGACTGTCTATTGATTCGTTCATTTTTGAACATTCGCTCATACACTTGTGTTCACACACTTGTTCTGACATTCATACTATCTCACTCACACACTTGTGTGACATTGATTTTCCTTGTTTGGAAAAATACAAGTATCATCGCAAACCTAGTGGTCTTCTGAATTCCGCCTTCTTGCGTCAAGACTATTAAATTCTCGACCAGTACATAACTGAAAGATTTTATCAGCTTTAAAATTATATAAATTTTGAAAGCTGTGGTTAAAAAAAACCTTCTATACAGTGAAGATCATAATAATTGTGAATGTGTAAGCCAATATATCCATCTAAGCCATCAAAACATTAGAAAAATAATATCACATCTCACAGTAATTACCAATTTTAATGTTCGTTGGTACACACGTTCACAAAAGCAGGAGTCATCGGTCTCTGCAAGTAAGTGCTTAAGAGTAAATGAAATCCCGTGAACCCATTAATGCAGCGAAAAGGAGACCTAACTCCTCTATTGTGAAACATATTATAGAGATAGGATATAAATTTGATGTTTACACGTCTTCAAAACCTATTTTATAGAAAGCGTTTAAAGGAGGATATTCTAAAGTTTCTGAAAGCCCTAGTTGGTAATAAGGAAGTGTAAACCACCTTTATGCTCTGAAAGCGACAATTTGTTGTCACAGTGAACCTTCCTTGGTAAACTTTTTTTGGTACATACCAGGATAGATGTAGGATTATGGTGAGAGCAGCCTGCTAGCCAATTGGTAGACATTAATCTACGTCAATGTCTAGGTCACTAATATTGGTCATAAGAAAATATGAACAAGGCTGGTTCAAAAACCGATCACAGTAGACTTAACATGGGCAAATTAGATTCGCAGATATATGGCTCAACTTTCCGAGAAACCAGTCACCTTGAGCAAGAAACAACCAATCAGAAGACTGTGTTTGTCTGCTTGAATAAGCTATAATAATGTACATGAAATATGTGTATAAATACGTGCTGATTTCCGTAATAAAACAATCTGTTGCCTGCCCTTGTCTTCTGTTGTAATCTCTACCCTCGTTAACAATGTTGCTAACTTGACCCACGTCCAATTTCTAGTCAACTATGTTACGTCATCCGATTAACTTAATTATTTTCAACTGTATTATTCTCTAACCCCACCCTTATTCAATTTTAACCACCACCCATTAACACTGTTGCCAACCTGACCTACTCTGAATTCTACTCAACTGTATTACGTCATCCAATTCACTTAATCAATTCTATTTTATTTTCTATCTTAACGTTTGTCTCCAAGCCAAATAATACTTACATTACATAATTATCTAAACTTTATAAATCTAATGTACACACACACAAATAAAATTGTATATATATGCGATTGTACAGCTCAATGAATGAATTCGCCGAAAAGAGTCTCTTCGCTGAACGCCTTATTTTCTCTTATATGATTCACTATTACCTGCCTTAT